ATGATAATTGCTTGAACCCGGGAGGCAGAGGTTGCAATGAGTGGAGATTTTCCCTCTCAGAGTTCTAATTAACCCGTTATCTCTTGAAGTAGCTAGGGCCCTCCCTATTGTCACTTGGCATATAAAAATGTTCCCCGGATTTGTAAATACAAATCATCTGGGACTAGATATGAAATACACTCACTTTAAGAAACAGAAGAAGCCATCACCATATCCAAGTGGGAAGATAGGATTTTTATTCTCTATATTAGTTGGGACATTTCTGGTTTTGAGCGAGATAAACTGAACTCAAAATGTCCTAAACACAATAGTAAGTTTATTGGCTCATATGACTAAGAATTCCAGGAGGTAGACCCTGCGTTAGGTAGTATTGGGTCCAGAGACCTGCAATTTATTGTCAGCGCTGGAGCCACCTCCATCTCTGGGCTTTGCATTTCTTTGTGTTGATTTCACTCTAATGCCCCACGTGATACCTCCATAGTCCTTGGATTACACAGTCCTTTCTGCTAGAAGTCCCAGAGAAAGAGACATCCTCCTTCCTGCAATCTTTCAGACAAAATCTTGGGTGGGTGTGACACTCACTAGATTGAATTGGGGTCTGTGTCCTCTCCTGAGCAAAAGACTGTAACCTGAAGGCAAGGCATGGTTGCTTATGCCTGTAATCCCAGCACTTTGGGAGGCCAAAGTAGGTGGATCACCTACAGTCAGGAGTTCAAGACCAGCCTGGCCAAAACATGGTGAAAGCTTGCTTCTACTAAAAAAAAAAAAAAAAAAAAAAATTAGCCAGGTGTGGTGGTATGCACATGTAACCCCAGCTACTTGGTAGGCTGAGGCAGAAGACTCGCTTGAACCTGGGAGGCAGAGGTTTCAGTGAGCCGAGATCGCACCACTGCATTCCAGCCTGGTTGAGAGTGAGACTCCATCTCAAAAAAAAAAGACTGTAACCTGAGTGACAAAATAAGCTGATTTGCCAGAGCCAGTGATGGGCGTCAATGTAAGTTGAACCACATGAATGCGGTTGGGGGGTGTGGGTAGTATTGAATGGTTCTTCAAAGGAAAATCATGTTTGCAGAAAAGCAAATGGCTTCTACATCATTGCTCTTGACAAGCAAGCCTAAAATCTTAGTATTTAGGGGACAATGTAAGTCTCATCTAATATTGCTTTTTCTTAAGTGGACCAGAAGTGTTTTTACTGAAAACAAAGGGAAATGTTGGTTCACTTGTTTTAAAGTTTCTTCCTCACTAACAGCCACATGATCTGAGAATTTCTCATTTACCAGTAGTGGTGAACCTCTTCAGTCATAGTTGTTTTACCAGTGCCTACCCTCATGGTGTTAGCTGATTGGACCAGAAATGAATATACTCACTCCAAAGAAGCTAGCTCATTGACAGGCCAGTGGTCAATTAAATTCATCTTCGGGACCCACTGAGACTAAGACAGCTTTGAAAACTCAAGAAAGCCCACAAAATCCTCTACTAGGCACAGTGACTTATACCCATAATCCCAGCACTTTGGGAGGCTAACGTGGGCAGATTGCTTGAGCCCAGGAGTTCAAGATCAGCCTGAGCAACATAGAAAGACCTCCATCTCTACAAAACCCACAAAATTTAGCAGGGTGTGGTGGTGCATGCCTGTGTTCCCAGCTACTCCAGAGGCTAAGGGTGGGAGGGTCAATTGTGCCAGGGAGGCGGAGGTTGTAGTGAGCCAAGATCACACCGCTGCACTCCAGCCTGGGTGACAGAGCCAGACTCTGTCTCAAGTAAAAAATAAAAATAAAGACCACAAAATCCTCCTCCTGAGAGACCTAGACCTTTCCTGGCTCCCATTCTCCTGAGGCCCTCTTTGTGTTTTTTTGGATTCTGTAAAAAGATCCCTGCCTGCATTCATTTAATAATTTCTTGATTCCGCTTAAGCTAATTTGAGTCTGTTTGTGTTGCCTGAAACCAGATGACTTTGCCAAGGCTGAGTCTGGTCACAGTCATATCCAAGGATGGCATGGAGGCCAGTGAAGGTGAAGCAGAGTAATCCAGAGTGTGAGTAGGAAGAGATGAGGGCAGAGGGAAAGCAGGGTCAGACGACGGGGGCCCTTGTAGATGATCATAAGGACTTCAGCTTTCATTCTAAATGAAGCAAGAAGCCACTGAAAGGGTTTAAATAGAGAAATGACATGATCTAACCTTAATTCAGTAAGAATATCTTTGGCTGGCTTATTCACAACAGGCTGTGGATGGCAGAATCAGCAAGGCTAGTGAGGATCCAATGGCAATGATTCGGGTGAGAGACGATGATCGATTGGATCATGGTGGTGGCCTGAGAGGTGGTGAGTAGATTCTGGGTATATTTTATAAATCAGAACACTGATGCTTTAAGAGGGAGAGGACATTGCCTATGGACTTATGATGACAGAGTGGTTTAGAGGCAATACCCCTCTGTACTGAAGAATCAGATGATGATTGTCCTAGGAGTGTACACATTTACCAAAACTCCTTGACTTGCACATTTTGGGCCAGGCGCAGTAGCTCATGCTGCAATCCCAACACTTTGAGAGGCTGAGGCAGGTGGATTGCTTGAGGCCAGGAGTTCAAGACCAGCCTGGGCAACCTAGTGAAACCCAGTCTCCACAAAAATAAGAAATTATCCAGGCGTGGGGGCACAAACCACTAGCTACTACTTGGGAATCTGAGGCAGGAGGACTGCTTGAGTCCAGGAGTTGGAGGCTGCAGTGAGCTATGATCACACCACTGCATTCCAGCCTGGGTGACAGAGCAAGACCTTGTCTCAAAACAAAAAAATATATATATTGTGCATTTCATTGCATATACAATTTAACTTGATTTTATAAAAAGCCAATCTAGCCTAATTCCACACTTGTAATTCCAGCACTTTAGGAGACTGAGGCAGGTGGATCCCTTGAACTCAGGAGTACGAGACTAGCCTTGGAAACATGGTGAAACCCCTTCTCTACTCCCTCAAAAAAATTAGCTGGGTGTGGTGACATGCACCCGTGGTCCCAGCTACTCAGGAGGCTGAGGTGGGAGGCTCCTTGGAGCCACAGGAAGTTGAGGCTGCAGTGAGCCGTGATCACACCACTACCTTCCAGCCTGGGTAACAGAGTGAGACCCTGTCTCTAAATAAATAAATAAATAAATTTAAAAGACAAAGAGAAGAAAAAGCTGGCTTTATTTTACAAGGAGAATATAACTGTGTATTGTCATTAAAAACAAATTTGGAAGTTGGACAGTGTGTATTTCAAAATCCCATTATATGTGTGTGTGTGTATATATATATATATATATATATATATACACACACACACACACAACTAATATGTGTATGTGGAAACACACACATACACACACCAAATAATAACCAAACTGTTAGCCATGCTTATTTGGGGCAGGATAGGGGCACAGATTATTGTTTTAATTCTTTACAATCACCATATATTGTTAGAAGAAGCAGTTGAGATTTTTTAGAGGATTTTCTTTAAATTTCTCTCCAATAATGCTGGACCTGTTTCCGCCAATCTGGGCAAGCAGCCATTGGACAAGCAACCAAGGCATCTCCTAGGAATTTGGAAATTCAGGCTCTTAAGACCCACTCCATCCCTATCAAGTCACAATCCGCATTTTAACAAGATCCATAGGTGATTAAGCCCATTCAAATCTGAGAAGTTCTAGGTGAGAACAGACCCCTTCCTCTCTCTAGGTCTCCGTTTGTCCCCCGCACAGAGGGGCTGTGTCTCTATGGTCCCTTCCAATTGCAGTTTTCTAATTTCATTTATTGTAGCTGTCAGAGTCCCTATAAAAAGGCAGCTGAAGCCAGGCAAGTGGCTTGCCTCTGTAATTTTAACTATCTGGGAGGCTGAAATGGGAGGCTCATTTGAGCCCAGGCTGGAGGCTGCAGTGAGCTATGATGGCACCACTGCACTCCAGCCAAAGCAACAGAGGGAGACCCTGTCAAAAAAAAAAAAAAAAGAAAGAAAGAGAGAGAGAAAAGAAGAAAGAAGGAAAGAATGAAGGAAAGTAAGAGAAAGAAAGAAAAAGAAAGAAGAAAGAAAAGGAAGGAAGGAGAGAGGGAGAGAAGAGAGGGAAGGAAGGAAGGAGAAAGAGGGAGGGAGGGAGGAAGGGAGAGAGGAAGGAAGGAAAGAAAAGAAAGAAAGAGAAAGAAAGAAGGGAAGGAAGGAAGGATCATGCCTGTAATCCCAGCACTTTGGGAGGCCAAGAGGGGTGGATCACCTGAGGTCAAGAGTTCAAGACCAGCCTGGCCAACATGGTGAAACCCTTTCTCTACTAAAAACATAAAAATCAAGCCAGGCATGGTGGCGCACGCCTGTAATCCCAGCTACTTAGGAGGCTGAGGCAGGAGAATCGCTGGAACCCGGGAGGCAGAGGCTGCAGTGAGCCGAGATTGAGCCATTGCACTCCAGCCTGGGCGATAGAGCCAGAGTCCATCTAAAAAAAAAAAAAGAAAGAAAAAGGAAGGAAGGAGGAAAGAACGAAAGAAAGAAAAAGCAACTGAAAAGGTGGAAGGATGAGTGGCCTGGCTGAACAGCCCCTACTGCCTACAGCTGGACTCAGGTGAGCACCGAAGCGGCCTCACGCTGCAGGTCTGGAGGGAGTCGGAGGAGCAAAGCTGCGTGGGATTCCTGCTGGTGCTAGGACGGGTGCCTACTGTCTGAGTGGAAAGAAGGCGTGAGGCAGTGATAGGGAGCTGGAGGCTCTGCGAGGCGCCTTGGGGTCAGTGCCGCAGACGCAGCGGGAATGCAGGGTGCAGGGCGGCCTCGGGGCGGCAGCAGGCACTGCGCGGTGGCCCGGGAAGGCGCAGCGCAGGCCACGCAGGGGCGCAGGGCGGTCTCAGGGCGGCAGGGGGCGCTGCGGAGTCGTGGCTCGCTCTGGGAGGCCGCAGGTGCTCGGCGGCCTGGGGAAAGCACCTGGCCAGGTGGGGGCGGGGCCTGGGAAGGCAGGGCCCTAGGGGGCGGGGCCCGGCCGTCCCACAAGAGCCCTTGGCGGCGCTGCCCGGGGATGCTAGTCCGAGAGCAAGCAGAGGAACGACGCACCCGAATCGCGCATTCACGAGCCTCGGACCCTTTGGAACCCAGAGGTGAGTTTAGCGGGGTCGGGTCGGACCAGCTTGGGGGTCCTGGGCACCGGAGCGGCCGCCGGGCGCCGGTTCTTCTGACGCAGTCCGCGCGGTAGGTGGCGGAGCCAGCATCAGCCTGTGGCTTCTTCTCGGTACCTGGGATGCTGGGACACTTTGCCCGGGTGGTCGCAGTCCAGCTCGCCGGGGTCTACCCACGCCGTGGTCCGGAGCACGGAGCCGGGCAAGAGCCACTCAGAAACCGGGTCCGGGGTCCGGGGGCCTGGGGGTCCCGGGGCGCACCTCGCCTCTTCTCTCCGACCGGCACCCGCTCAGCCCCCGCCCCTTTCCCTTGCCGGGGTGAGTCGCATGGATCTGTCCGCTGCTGTTCCTCCTGCCCCCTGAAATGCTTTCTCCGGGGTGACTTGGTGCAGACAGAAGCAAACACTTGAAGCGGACTGTTTGGATTCGCTCCAGCGGCTTTAGCCCGGGCTCCCGGGGGCAGACGTGGCCTCCATCACAAGACAGCGCCCGCTCGCTCCGCGCCGGGAGGGCAGGGGCTGCGGGGTCGCCCGGGAGGAGCTCGGGTCCGGGCCTTGAGGCTGAGCTCAAGCGATTTCTGCACAGGAGTCGCCCTCCCGGACCGGCACTGGTCGGGGACTGACGGGTCCAAAGATCCAACACTAGACTTGGGGCAAATCTCTCATCCCTCCCCAAGCTTTGGGATCCTGCGCTGTGGGATGGGAAACAGGCGGGGGTGGGGGGGTGCACGGAGTCTCTGCTTTGAGCCAGGACCCTGGAATTCTAAAGAATCCTTCAAATCCTTCCTACCTGTGTGGTCTTGGGCAAATTACCTAACCTCCGTGCCTCAGTTTCCTCCTCTGTGAAATGGGCCAAGTAAATAGCACCTCATATAATTATAGTGAGGATTGAATCAGATATTGTGTAAAAAGGACTGAGTTGGATGCCTGGGAGTAGAGAAAGGGATCAATCAGTGATCGCTGCTATTATTGCTGCTTTCCCTGCTGCTGTTATCATTATTATTATTATTATTAATGACTGGGGAGCAGCCTAGCTAGTCGTTAAAGGGACTCCTAGGTGCAAATCCCAGCTCAGCCACTTTCTAGTGTGACCTTGAGAAAGCTACTTAACCTGTCAGCACGTCTGTTTCATTTGTATAATGGGGGTGGTTGGGATACCTACCTTAGAAGATTGTGAAAATTCAGTGAGACGACACCTGCAAAGTACTTAGAGGAGTAAGTGCTGGGTATCAGCGAGTCATTCTTTCACCAATGTGTCACATTGGATCAGGCTGCATAATCTAATAGTAGCTACTGTCTTGTTTTGCTTTGAAGTTGAAACATGATTTATATGAATATTTTATCTGTTTCACAAAGACCAAGATCGGTTCCCTTCCTTCACTTGGGGCTCCTTTGACATTACTGACTGATCCATTGGGGGTCAAGGTCAGTTCTGGGGAAGGGGCTGAAGGGGCAGAGGGACCCTTGGAGTTGGGGATAGGAGCTTCCAGAATCGCAGCTTCTGTTGAACACTCATGGAAGAGGGCTGCAGTTTTATTTGACAAGCAATTGAACCTGGACCTAGATTTCAAAACAAATTCTTGCTAATTTATTTATTTTCTTTCTTTCTATCTATTTTTTTTGGGGGGGGGGTGGATTGTAGTGAGGGAGGAGGTGAGAATAAGCAATATTTTAAATGATAAAAACCAAATAAATTATATTCCTCTTGCCCAGAGGCTGATAGCATTATTTTGAAGGTCAGAGATGGTGTTCTTCATCCCAGTAAAATCATATTAAATCTGTGGAGAGTTTGGAGCAGTTTGGTTGCTCTGGGTGTCTCACCTCCAGGCTCAGCACTCCATTTCCTTTGCATCAGAGGCCTTGAACCCACTAGCATCATAAGCTTGGAAGCCGCCTAGCTTTGTCCCAGCTTCCAATTTTAGCCCATATTTCATGGGTTCAGGGTGGGGGGAAAAAAAAACGTAACTCTGAAGGTTCTGAATCCTGCCTAAAAAACTTGATGGGGCACACCAAAGTTCCAGACACAGGCCCCTTCTGGTCCTGGGGACCATCCTGTATACCCTAGGATATGTCCTAATTTGCCTTTGTCACTGTAGAAGACATAGGGGGACACAGTTTTCATATACTCCCCACCCCCAATACTAGTGCTCACAAGTCTTGGGAAGTGGTCACATGTACCATTCAGAGTTTGGAAATTAAATAGCTCAGGGTCTTTCCTCCTACCTTTAGTTCTTGGCACTGTTAATTAACTCTCTGCACCCAGCACACTGCCAGGTCCCTCAAAGGCATATACCATAGTGGTGAAGGCTGCAAGATTCCAATTCAGCTCCTCTACTAACCAGCTGTGTCATCTTGCACAAGATATTCTACCTCTCTGAGCCCATTTTCCACCTCTGTAACATGGAGACAATAACAGCATGCCTATTTCATGGAATTGTTGAAACACAACATGAAATATATGTAGGCTATGTGTATACTTACAGAGGGAGATTAATTGACTTATGTGACTAATGAGACCATATATTAAAACATGAAATGAGTTTTTATGTAGTATATTAGTTCATTTCTAAAATTATTTCTAATGGTAAAGTTTGTATAGTTGAGATGCATCATGTACATTGATAAATGTGGTAATTTGCTTTCCGATACTGGTACTCTTCCCCAAAGCTGTTATAAAATCAAGGGCACTCTCTAAATTAATGGTATCTTAGAATCAAGGAAATATGGCACACTGCCTGGAAAATACTAAGTGGTCAATAGTTGTGGGTTATTGTTACATCAGGTGCTCTAGAAACATTAAGAGCTTGACTGTAAAGAGAAGAAACGAAAGAGAAATCATTTCACTTATAATAAAGCCTCAGAGAAAAGGCTGGGGAAAATGCAGCTGGGAACATGATCTAATACAGCTGCCAGGAAATTCACTTGGCAGATTTCACCTGTCGGTTTCAATCTGCGAAGAACTGCTCTGTACCAGACACTGTGCTAGGCACCAGGGGACATAATGAGATAGGAATGCTGCCCTTGAGGAAGGCGGGCTACTGGAGGTGATAAGGCACAAGTCCCCCTGCCTGATAAGAGAGCTGATGGGGCTGCTTCCAGAGCTCCTGCCCCAGGAATCTGGGGAAAGTTCCTACAGCCTGTCCAGCCAGAGCCTTGTAGGCTACACCTCACCCAGCCCTCCACGGCTAGGCCTGGGGGTCTTAAGAAAAGTGGCAGCTTCTCTGGCAGCTGTGGTGGCCAAAAACAAACATCCTGGAGAAGGGGCCGAGGCTTCAGAATGCGAAGTGTCCAAGCTGCAGAGGAACAGAGGAAGGAGGCCTCTAAGGGCACATAGGCTGGTGTTTCCCAGACTGTGGCCTCCAGGGACACACTAGCCGGCCAGTGCCTGCCAGCTCACCCGCTTCTCTTCTCTGCCCCTCCAGTACGCCCAACCTCAAAGTCCCATCCTCCATGGCTCCCGGAGAGAAGATCAAAGCCAAAATCAAGAAGAATCTGCCCGTGACAGGCCCTCAGGCGCCGACCATTAAAGAGCTGATGCGGTGGTACTGCCTCAACACCAACACCCATGGCTGCCGCCGCATCGTGGTATCCCGTGGCCGCCTGCGCCGCCTCCTCTGGATCGGGTTCACACTGACTGCTGTCGCTCTCATCCTCTGGCAGTGCGCCCTCCTCGTCTTCTCCTTCTATACAGTCTCTGTTTCCATCAAAGTCCGCTTCCAGAAGCTGGATTTTCCTGCAGTCACCATCTGCAACATCAACCCCTACAAGTAAGAGGCATGAGCAGGGAAACCCGAGTAGGGAGCCAGGCCCCCCACCCCCCACCCCACAAGTGCCCAAAGCTCCTCCTGAAAGTGACACACTGGCAGTCTGGAGGCTGATTCCAGCCTACAAATGTGCTTTCTAAAAATTTTAATTTGTTGCTAACACTAGTAAACTGCTCTCTCCCCAGTTCCAAATCTGTATCTACCAAGTTTTCAAACCATCAGGGACATTTTCTTCCCCTTTTTCTTCTCCTTCTCCTCCTCCTCCTCCTCCTCCTCCTCCTCCTCCTCCTCCTCCTTCTTCTTCCTCTTCTTCTTCTTCTCCTCCTCCTCCTCCTCCTTCTTCTTCTTTTTTTCAGATAGAGTTTTGCTCTTGTTCCCCGAGCTGCAGTGCAATGGCACAATCTCTGCTCACTGCAACCTCTGCCTCCCTGGTTCAAACAATCCTCCCGCCTTAAGCCTCCCTAGTAGCTGGGATTACAGGTGCACACCACCACACCAGGCTAATTTTTTGTATTTTTAGTAGAGATGGGGTTTCACTATGTTGGCCAGGCTGGTCTTGAACTACTAATCTCAGGTGATCCACCCACTTTGGCCTCCCAAAGTGCTGGAATTACAGGCATGAGCCACCACACCCAGACTTTTTTTTCTCTATTTTTTTTTTTGTTTGT